CTCAGCCTATCACTCTCATTCGCTGCCATCGAGTCAATTCTGGCTCTTAGCGACTGACCGGATAGGACAGGGCAGACTGGCCCCTGCGGGTTTTCGAGAGTGTAACTCTTTGAGGGAGTAGAAAGCCTCAACTTCCTCCCACGGAGTGGCTAAAGGGTTTGAACCACTGTCCTTTCTGTTGAAAGTCCAATACATAAGCAACAGCACCACCAAGGCTACTCTCCTAGCATTCTAGCAGCTAGAATAAAGAGCACCCTGACCCAGAAAACTCAAAGAACGTCGCACAAAGCCGGCTGTTGACATGGTTCTTGGTCCCGCGCCATCACTGTTATGTTAGACCCACTGCGGCAGTCCCTCGCTTTGCTGGTCTCCCTCTTGCTCACTGCCCCTCCCCTTTACCAAGCAGAATGTCCTTATTGCAAACTTGGAGCTGGCCTTCATAATCATCCCTGGCGGCCCCCTACTTCCTAGTTGGCCCTCCTCCACCATCCTCTTCTGGAACTGGAGGAAGCGCAGGCGATCCGAAGGACACTTTTCAAACCCACTGATGAGCCCATTCTACCCATCCCTCCTGCGGAGGCGGGACCGCATCCGTGCACACGTTCGAGGAGCGTGCAGGTGGCCAGGTTGTCACACCTTCGGGCTCCAGGTTCTCCTGGTTGCCTCCGCAGAAGCATCTGGATCGCCCCCCCCTCCAAGTGGCCCATTGTGTGAGCTGAGGGCTCCGACTCCCCTGAGAAAAGAGCGTGTTTACTTTTCCCATGCAGTGGGTGCCCACGTCAATAGTGCGGCGTCCGTGAGTGGAGCCCTCCCCGCTCCAGACAGGGCCCGACGACGCCTATAAGGGGTGAGCCTCTGATACGTGTCCCACATGAGACCATCAGAACGGAGACAGGGCTAGTGTTCCGTCCAGCCGCCCCGCCTGCCACCATGAAGCTCGCTGTCCTGTTTGCCCTGGTCACCCTGGCTCTCTGCTGCAGCTCTGGTGAGTGCCCGAGTGCCCGCCTCCAGACCTAGACTGGAAAGCCTTCACGGCCACCCACTTCTGCTGCCCTCCTGCCCTCCCAGGCTGCTGAGAGGGCGTGGGAATG